GGGGGGGGGGGGAGGGTCCTAAGTTTTTTATCCTAAAGGATCACCACGTGCCAAATAAATAATACTTCGTAACTCCCTCCAGATGAGGTGTTACTCGTATTATTCAGCGGGCGCAGACTATCATCTCCTGCTACTCGATCACTATCTTTAAGTTGTTACCTAAAGCGTACTACTTCAATTATAACTCGTGCCCTATGAGTGCACTACCCTTCCCATGCCTATGGTCTAGGAGGCGTTTAGACCTCTAATTTTGGTGGTTCTAGACTTAACTTAGGCTGCTTAGAAAATGTCAAAACTAGGCGACATACAAAACACATTGGACTTCACATACGAATGCAGTCAAAGGCTCAAATTAACCTCCACAATTAAACAGCAAATGCACGCGCAAACAGATTTTCAGGTTATGCAATTCAAGATTAAGGAATTTAATTTCGGATAGACATGATTTTTACGTGATAGGCATCCAGGCATGCAAGCAGTTTGAGGAACCAGCGTTATTCATAGATAGGATTGCCACGATTGTTACACACTGATTATTGAAAAGGCCAATTCCCAGTTATTAGTCCTGTAGCTGTTGCGCCTAGGTGATTTATGGTAACAAGAGTAGAGACTCAGAATTACTTATGATTTTGATAACGGCCTAAGTGAGCCGTGAACAATGTCAAAGGGGTGTCATTACCAATTAGTAAGGCAAGCAGTAGCATCCTATAGGCAGGATTTCTAACGATAAATATTTGGGACCTGATTTTGTTGTTAAACCTTATAGGCAGGTTTTCTAGGTGGATAATGTGATGCAATGAAAGATAAAGGGATTAGATTCCTATAGGCATTATCGCCAATGGACATTCTACAATAATGCAAATTAGAGGGGAGTTCCAGGATTTTTATTTCCTAGGGGCAGGTTCTCTAGCAACAAAGATATTGAGGCATTTGGGCTCATGCTATGCTAATGAACAAGTAGTGCAAGTGTGTGCTTTTCCTAGAATGCTTTCTACAGTGTGCATAGGGAAAGAGTACCAAAAAAAAGCAAGAACATTATTCAATCCTACAGACATGTTATCTACCCATCGCATGTTAATATTAGAATTTACCACATCCCCCTTTACTAAAACCCCAATCGTTTATACAAAGGTATTATTACAGACCTAAATGAATAAGCAAAAATAGTAGTATTACATGGCAATAGACAGGCATATAGCAGGCCTAAGTAAAACAACTAGATACCCAGCCTTACTGGGCCTTCAATATAGTATACCACATGATCACAGGTCCATAGGGGAGTTCAGACCCCTTCCAATGAGCCACAACATCAAGTATTGCATCACTTGGGATGACCAGCATAAAATATGTCACATGATACTCGAGTAGAACAATAGGGGTGGCTTGGGGTTAGAAGAATGACTAAGGCCAAACCTCCTAGTGCGTCAAAGTTCACAAGGGCCTTAGATGGACCACGAGCAGTGCTCACACTAGGGATGCCAACAAAGAACCTAGGTAGCCTTGGCTTTCAGCCAGCTAAGAATAGGGATTCAGAATACCAAACTAACAGGTAGGAAGGATGGACAGAAGTTCCCAGAAGGATCATACAGCACAACTAGTCAAGTAGAGCAGTCAGGTTCACATAATCAAAGTACCACATAATCAGTCATCATAGGAGTTAGGAGAAGAAGCAGGTTTACAAAACATAGATTGGACTAGTTGACAATTAAAGGTCTAAATTTGGTTAAGTCTAATCTAATGTCTTGTTACTCAGTACTTAGACATAATGGAGGGATACACATATTGATGATTACAAAAAGGAAAGAATGGCAGATGCACCAAAACATACTGAAAACATGTTGACATAGGAGTAAGGTCCTAGTTATCAAAATATAGTGTTTGTCTTTAAAAAACCAGATGGCGTGAAACAAGTTTAGAGCACAAGACTTAGTAAGGAATTCATTCAAGTGAAAGGGGATTTCCATAAAGTTAAGGTATTATCCAAACACACTAGCAGAAACAACATACAACCATAATAGTCAGGCTCATGCCAAAATTAAACATGTTAAGATGCTACAGGGTACAGAATCTGTCTTAGGAGGTAAGAAATCACATAGTGCAAATCATAGTGAAGCATACCAAAAGCAGTAGACTGATTACCCTAAGAAGGTTCATATTATGTCGAGTATAAGTAATAGGGTAGCATTTAGATATGAGAAAAGGCGGATTACCATTACTGGTGAAACAAATAGGGGGTTAATCATACTAAGATGGGCATGCTGGTCAAAGCATGTCAGATACGCAGACTACCACAGAAATCTAGAACAATTTAACCATACAGTGAGTATATACATTCATGCTTTGCACTCAATCCACTAGTCGACTAAAGAAGTGCAAATTATGCAAATAGGCATATTCAAACAAAAGGACTAAAATAAACACAGAAAGATCCTTAAACAATAGTATTCAACTAATCATAATTCAATAAAACCAGGCATGCTTGAAACTAAAGTTAAAGAGACGTAAAGAAGCAAACAGAATCACACACAAACACAACCTAGGAAAACATATTGAGTTGACTGACTTCAGGGATGAAAATATATACAAACCATAGATGCTTAGGAATGAAGTTGCAAAGTCTAGTAACTCACCGGTTAAGCGAAGAACAATAAAGAATAAATCCCCACAAAAAACCCAGAATCCCTAATGCGTCAAAGTTCCCAAAAGCCTCGATGACTCAGGGCAGTGCTCGCACCAGGAACGAGTTTAAGATGTTAATGGCCTTGGCTTTCAGCTGGCCAGTACAGAATACTGATAGAATATATGAGTCCACCAAACTATATAGAGACCAGGTCCTATATAGGTTTCCACAGATAAGGCTAATGCAACAGTAAGTAAATGGAACAGGGAACTTTTACGTGGAAAAATCCCTGCTCAATGGGATAAAAAACCACGACCTACACTGGTAGGATTTCAACTTCACTATGAGCAATCTTTAGATTATAGCCTACGCAATCTAGGAATTAAACTCTTAATCCCTCACTAAGTTGTAATACACCTATTACAAGCCACTTTGCAATATACCTATTACAAAGACTTCAACTCATGACTAACTCTAGTCACGACATAAACACTAATGGTTTATGGTTTACAAGGGGTTCCTAATTAAAGCTTCTAGATAAGTAAAGTAGGAATTAAAATAAACAACAATTACAAAGTTACAACTCAACTAAGGACATACAAGAGACTTGCTGTAGGAACTGGTCCGTAGTAGTGTTGTACTTTGTTCTTGATACACTTGAGAATTGAATGCTTGATTGTCAGATGCTTGAATGCTTGAATGAATTCTCAAGTGTTCAAGTGATGTTTTGTTGTAATGTTTATTGTTAATACAACATGGATGACATCACTTGAATAATGTAATCACTTGGTTGGTCAATGAGAAGTGATTGTCGTACTGTGCTGCACTGTTTGCGTGTACAGTGTAGGCAGTCACTTTCCAGCTGTAGACAGTTGACTTCGTACTGATGTCAGGGGAACCCAAGAGGATCAGGTCCCTATGTTGATTCTTTATCTTCTGAAGTCATAGCAACTCACATTAGCTTGAGTCCGTTGATTGACTTGTGTTGAGTTGTGTACCAAGTGTATCAGGTTCCTTATCTGGTTCTTTAACAGTATGTTTATTAGATCATCAAAACATAAAGCTAAGGTACTGTAAACCCATCAATTTCCCCTGTTTTGATGATGACAAACTTAAAAATTGACAACCATATACAGAGCAAAATAAACTAGATAAAGTAACAGGAACTTCACAAGTTCCCCCTGACTTTATGCTTCCCCCTTAATCAGATCCCCTGCTTCAATTTGCTTAAATTTATCATATTTCCCCCTTTTGGAATCATTAAAAATACACAAGTAAGCAATCAACATAAAAAAGTCTAGCCTAGCTAATTCATGCCACATGTGTACACACAACATGATAGAAAAGAGAAGCAGAGAAACATAAGCATTTACAGCAAAAGAGGAGAGTCTCATTAATTTTATAAAACATAAGCCTTTGCCGTTACAACAAAGGTAGATTTGGACTGTTAAAAGCGGGAGCAATACAAGTGAATTCCATCCATACCACAAAGAAAACAAAAACAACTACCACAAAGTCATCGAAACAA